AGAGAGTTGGTTGGTGAGGATGCTCAGAGGAGGACAGCTTGTGGGTCGCCATGCTCGCCGGCGGGAGCGAGGACCGCCAGGCAGCGGCGGAGGAGGTGGTGTAGCTTGCTGCGGCTGTAGCTAGAAGAAGAGGGAGCTGGTTGGTGAGGATGCTCAGAGGAGGACCAGCTTGTGGGTCGCCATGCTCTCCGGCGGGAGCGAGGACCGCCAGGCAGGCGGAGGAGGTGTTGCTTGCTGGTTGGTGTAGGTAGAAAAGAGAGAGGTCACCACGAGGTCAGTTCTTTTATAGCGGAGGTAGGTGTGGGTAGATAGTTGACCCCCGCTCCATGGGCGGCGCTGGTTGACCCAGACCACGAGGCATACACTGTGGAATTCGCGGGGTCGGCTACTCAGCGACAAACAGCATTTGTAGGGTAGAAATCCACTACAATACTCCCTCCTTCCCTCCAGGCGGTGTAGGAGACTTGTTGTCTGCAGGGTTGCATGGCACATGTGAGGCAGAACGGGCGGTGCATACCTCATGTGAAACATAACGGCGATGGCGTGGTTGAGCCGGCCGCTAGATGAGACAACTGTCTAGATACAGAATATCTGTGGGAGTAGAGAGGGAGAAAAAGGGTGTGTGGAGGCAATGAATGTTGTGCTTCCCTCACGGCAGGTACAGAGTCGTCAGATGCGCCTGCTGGGGTGTGTGGGCCTGGGTCAGGAGCAGGGGCTGTGTCACCAGAAGCGGATGAGGGCTCGTGACAGCAGCTGGGTCCACGACAGCAGCAGGGTGCAGGACAGTAGCAGGGGGGTACCTGAGGGAGAAAAGAGGGGTGCGTGGGTCCGCACTCAGACGCATGGGCCACTTCGGGAGCAGGGGCTGCATCAGGAGAAGCGGCAGGGGGTACTGCTGGGCCGGGGGCGGCGTCTGAGGCAGGACGGGTGCGTTGGGGTCAGTAGGACTTGGTGCTTGGGGCAGGAAGAGGAGCAGCTGTCTGCTTAGAGTAGCAGAGCTGCTCTAGGGTGTCTAACCTGCGGTGTAGAGACAGTAGCTGTAGAGACATTGAGCGCTGCTTCTGGGTGGATAAGCCAGTCTTCCATGTTGCTTGAAGACTGGGAGCGTGATCTGTTTCTCCTCCATCCTGTGTGAGTGCGAATCTCCGGGGGTCACCATTTGTGGGGTATGGGTTGGCTGCAAGCATTGAGTAGAGAGAGCTGGTTGGTGAGGATGCTCAGAGGAGGACCAGCAGGTCGCCATGTTCTCCAGCAGGGCAGAATCGCCAGGCAAGCGGAGGAGGTCAATGTTGCTGGCTGGTTGGTGTAGGTAGAAAGGGACAAGGTCACCACAGGTCAGGTCTTAAATAGCGGAGGTAGGCGTGGCTTAGTAGTTGATCTCCGTCATGTAAGGCGTGGTTGACCCTGAACCACGAGGAGGCATACACTGGGGAGTGGCAGGGATCGGCTACTCCAGCGACAAACGTTTGTAGGAAAGAAATCCACTACAGTACAAACTGGATAATTTTGTGATTAAGAAGATTTGTAACCAAGTGAGAAGGTTGGGTCATCTTTCCCTATGACCTGACTACGGACAGCTGCTGTGCTTAGAGGTGGCATGGTCAATTTTTTTTTATTAAGAAGATTAGTAAGGGTCACTGCCTTATGACCGGAACATTGTGGACACCTGCTGTCCCCTAGGGGTGAGTGCAGACTAAGGAGAAATGCTTGACAAGGATAATATATACAGTAGAGGAGAGTGAGATCAGGTCCCTAGGGGACAGCAGGTGTCCACAATCTTCCAGTCACAAGGCAGTGACCCTTACTCATATTCTTTAAAAAAATAAATAAATTACCATGCCATCTCGAAGCACAGCAGCTGTCCGTAGTCAGGTCATAGGGCAAGATGACCCAACCTTCTCTCCTCTACTGTATATATTAGCCTTGTCAAGCATTTCTCCTTCGTCTGTACTCACCCCTGAAGATGTGAATTACACGAAAGCGCTTGGGAACTTCGTGTTTTCTTGTGGTTATCAGCATATACTTGGATCATGCACACCTACAGTGATATATATATATATATATATATATATATATATATATATATATATATATATATATATATATATATATATATATATATATATATATATATATATATATATATATATATATATATATATATAAAATTACTGTCTCTAGAACGACTTGCTCCCTGTCCCGGCCAAGAAAATGCCAACAACATTAAAATTACCCTTAGACATTCTTGGGTACATCCAGGGTGTTATCTGCAAATACAGTAAAACCTCGATTAACCGACCCTGGATTAGCCACTTTCGGATTAACCGTCAATCCCGAACACACACGCACACACCCCACATTTAGTTATTTATTTATTTATTTTTTTACGGGGATTAGCCCACCCGGGCACAGGTCACTGACCCACATTGGGGCCTTGGGGGCGATAATGTAATAATATTAATAATGATAATGATAATAATAATAATAGTAATAGTAATAAAGAACCATAAAGAAATGCAAAAATGAAAAAAAAATCAAGAGTGAGAAACAATGTACCTGTATGTATGTTGTGTTGTCAATAGTAAGAGAAACAATTGAGACCCTGCAATTGTGTGTAAATGAGGCAGAAAGTCAGATCAGCAACCTGGGACTTGGTCACAATTTTTGTGAAGACATATGTTCTTTGACTTTTCCATTTTTTATTCACGGTTTCTGTGCTGGTTCATATTTATTTACTAAAGTGGTTAATGTTTTAAAGCAAATTCTATTGAAATATGAATGGCAAATGAACAAAAATGAATAGAGGGACTAAAATGAGGTAGGTTAGGGAGAGGTACTTTGAAAATGTATGTTTTATTTCCGTAGACTTTATGTACTATTAACCGACCTTTTCGATTATCCGTGTTACTTCTATATGTGTAATTAAATTGAAACAGGTACTGATATATATATATATATATATATATATATATATATATATATATATATATATATATATATATATATATATATATATATATATATATATATATATATATATATATATATATATATATATATATATATATATATATATATATAATAATACAGGGCCGGATTTACCAATAGGCCAAGGGCCCACCGGTATCTGGGGGCTCACTGAAACTAATTGTCGCGCAGCGTGCCAGCGTATAACCTTGTTTCAAGTGTACACCGAGTATTTCATTATACAGTATAATGTATTCACAACCATAAGGGCCCCTGTACAATAAGTATAGGGGTCGGAGTATGGGGCCCCTGTACAATAAGTATAGGCCTGCAGTGGTCTTCAACTGGTGGGCCATGGGGTGGTTCTCAGGTGGGCCACGGACTAGGCCCTATAGTAAAATGAAGAAAATAAGATAAAAAAAAATATATATACATTTTTTAAATGTCCGTGCCCCACCATCGATCTATCTATTTATCTATCTATCTATACATACATATATACTGGAGAGAGAGAATAAAGTTCAAGAAACCTTCAGCGCCTTGACGTGTGAAGGACAGGATCGTTTCACGTTCAGTGCGTGTCAGGGTTACCGTTGATTTGCTGACAGCTCGCTCAGCCAGTCAGTATCTTCTCAGCCTCAGCTCAGTGATATTTTGTATTGTGTACGCGGCACTCATTATTTACTAATGATATTTTACATGTTGCATTAAATGGACTTCAGTGTTATATTACGTGTGTTTTTGTGTCTATTTTTTGTGATATTGGTATCTCTTATAGACTTACACTAATTTTTGGCTTACAGATTATTCTTGGGGATTCTCAGGAGATAAATATGTCGTCCCAAAAAAATATCTGAGTGGCTCACAAAAGAGAAAGTTAAAAGCAGCCAAAGCTGCACAACTGCAATCAGTTCCAAAGCTGCACAACCACAATCAGTTCCAAAGCTGACAACATTTTTTTAAACCAAAAGGAGATTCAGATCCAAGTACCAGTGACAGTAAACCCCAGGGGATGACACAGTAGATGTTCACTTTCATGATTCAGATGACGAAGCGAGGTCAGCCGAGTCACAGTCACAGAGATTAAGTAAATCAGCACCTACAGCAATGGAAGTACCACCTGTGACTGAAGCTTCATCCGATTCATCACAGTTGACTTATAAGAAACATTCTGTGGAACAAGGTGTCAGGGAATGGCTTGTGTATTCTCCAAAAACTGGAGATGTATTTTGTGTTCCATGCAAGCTATTCAGCAAGCAAGTCTCATTGTGACTGCACCTGATGATGATGAATGATACTGGTGATGACAACTCTCAACTCCTGTCTGCGTGACTCAACCTCAAAATCACCCTTCTCCCCCATCAAGTTAAATTCATATTTTTTCCAAGTTAAAGTGTTACATTTACTGTATGATTTCATTATTAGATATGAATGTAACATTTATTTAGACTGTGCTATCCTTTGTGTTAGGCTAACTACTAAATTTTTTCAATTTCGAGTAATCTGCACCTAACCCTATTTTCTCCATAAGCCGTGTTTTTTCTATTGCGCGAATTTCTACAACACGAGGTTTTACAAGAACACGACTATCGCGTTGTAGCAGAACTGACTGTATTCAGATATCATAGCAAGTTATGAATAACACTCTTCAGGCAATGTATACATATAGTATTAGTAAACTATTTAAGATTTTTTTTCATCTAATATATCTCAAATGACAACCCCACTCCAGTACAGGGGAGCAAGTACTCGAGTCAGTTGGGCCAGGACTCACTCACGCACCCCAATTGACATGTGGGGGAGACAGCTGCTCATTGCTCCCAGCATTTCACAACTTTTCTGATGCTTTATCACACTGTCAGCTTTCCAAAAGAATTCACAGCATACAATAATATCTCCGTTTGCCCCAAAGCCAGAATTTTTTGGAAAATTACGGCTTTGGAATATCAGTTGCAAAAGCGTGTACCCTTAAGCCTTCTAACCATACAAGCTAAGGCAAGAAGCCTTTTCGAAAGCCTGAAAGAGCAGGCAGAAGATGAGTGCGACCAAAACTTCACAGCAAGTCATGGTTGGTTCCAAAGGTTCCAAGTGCTGATGTGGGTGCTGCCGAAGCTTTTAAGGAGGAGCTAGATTGTGTCATCGTGGAGGGAAATTATTTGCCTGAGCAAATATTTAATGTGGATGAAACTGGCTTATTCTGGAAACGCATGCCAGAACACACATATTCACAAAAAGGAGAAAACCATGTCGGGATTCAAGGTCCGAATCACATTTCTGTTGGGGGGGAATGTAGCTGGTTTCAAGGTAAAACCTTTCATATATCATTCAGAGAACCCAAGGGCTTTTAAAAATGTCAGCAAGCACACACTGCCCGTGTTTTATCGCAGTAATAAGAAAGAATGGATGACCCTAGCACTGTTTGAGGATTGGTTCCTGAGTTTTCATTCCACGAGCCACCGAGTATTGTCTGCAACAAGGGTTTGTGGTGTTCAAGATTTTATGAATTTTAGATAATGCTCCAGGACACCGACCTCACCTGGACGACCTGCACCCTGATGTTAAGGTAGTCTACATTCCACCTAACACTACCTCTATCATCCAACCCTTGGATCAAGGTGCTATTGCTGCTTTTAAAGCGAATTATTTACGTACGAGCTTCGCTCAGGCTGTTGCTGCTACTGAAGGTGAGAAAACGCTCAGAGAGTTTTGGAAAGACAACAACATTTTGCAATGTATAAGGTACATAGCTGCAGCATGGGATGAGGTTACAGGTCAGTGCATGAATGGAATATGGAAGGAGGTCCTGAAAAGATATGTGAACAGTTTCAAAAGATTTAATGAAGATGAAGCAATTTCTGAGATTAGTAACAAGATAGTGGAATTGGGTAAACAGCTGGAGTTAGAAATTGATAATGAAGATGTTGAGCAGTTGGTTGAAAGTGCAGCAGAAGAGCTAAGTAACGAGGATCTTATTGAACTGGATGCACAAAAAATGGCAGAGGAAGAAGAGAAAATATAGAAGAACCTGCACCCCTCAAAAAGTTTTTCAGTGAAACAAATGGTGGAGGCATTTGCTACTATTAATAAGGGGATGCAAATGTTTTTAGAAATGGATCAAAATGTTAAGCGTTTTGCAAAAGTTGACAGAATGATCCAAGATGTTTTTGCTTGCTACAGGGAGATTTACAATGAAAAAAAAAGGCAAACTGTGCAGTCTAAATTGGACATATATTTTAAGAAGTCCCCCACTGCTGTCTCCTTATGCCCCACCTCTGCTGCCTCTTCACTCCCAAAGACGATCCAATACCTTCAACACGCAAGTATGTTAACCTGTCTGAAGAAAGCAAAATTGATGACCCACCCAGCCGTCTCCTCCTCTGCTTCATCCAATTAATGTAGTCTCCGTGTTTAATTAAAAAATTATTGAGGCCCCTTGTGCATTCAGCGGACTACATTAAAGGTAAGTGCACAGTAACACTTTATTCATTTGTCATTATTGATTACTTTTACTGTACAGTACATTATTTCATTTTAGATTTTCTATGTATTATTTTCGCTTTTCGAGTTACGACCTGGTCGTCGGTCAGGAACCCCGTCGTAAGTCAAGGAGAGACTGTATACCTGGAAAATTCCAGGGATGGTGGAATTTTTTTTTTCCAGGTATGAGAGATGAAAATCAGGCGCATTTTCCAGAAATTCTAAGACAATTTTTCTGGTACCCAGAAAATTCTGGGGATGGGGAACATTTTTTCCAGGTTTGAGAGATAATGTAATGCAAAATTTCTGGAACTTCTGAGAAAAATTTTCCGTTACCCGGAAAATTTCGGGGACGAGGGATTTTTTCTAGCTTTGAGCATCGTCGTCTCGTTACCCAGAAGTGCTCTGCCCCAATTGTTCCAGCTAAAGGAGATATGTACTTGCAAGCGCGCAAGTAGAGTTAACGGACATGTCATCGTAGAGAAGCACAATGGGAGCACAGAATCGTGTTTTCCCTCTTCCCAGTGAGTCAAGGTATCGCTAAACTGAATTTTGACAAAACTGTTATCGCTAAAGTAAATTAGTGCTAAGCGAGGGATACCTGTACATAGACCTGATATAGAATTTAAATTATTATCACAAAAATTAAACACAAAATAAGGTTATTTGATTTACAGTCCAAAGAAAGAGATATACAAGCCTGTCAGTTTTTTTATAATTTGTCATCCATAAATCTGACCAGGCAATCAACAATACATAAATACATGATATTAATCTAGATATACATTATCAAAAAATTTTAATTTAGAAACCGGTCTGTCAGTATGTATGACAGTAGAAATTAAATGGTTTCTAGGAACACTTGTACTTCAGTGTTGTGCATATAAACTTCAGTAAGGGTTCAATAAAAAACAACGTATACAAAAAATGAACATGTTTGACATATACAAATTATTCTTGTAAAACATTCACTTATGCACTTGAACAACATTTATGCTTGTGAGTCAGTTTATGATGGTAATCCAAAACAGTATAAAATTAAGCAACTGAGACACCACTAACTGAATTTTCACATCCTAATTTTCTCTCATCTGTCCCAAACATATATGACACGAGACGTTAGCTTTGGTCTCCTTGCACTTCTAGCACTGAGTGATCTACCTAGAGGTTGTTTACAGAAGCGTAAAAAATAACTGAAGGAATGGAATGTGAAAAAGTGTAAGAAAAAAAGAAAAAGAAAAAACCTGAGGCGACAGATTTACTTTGATAAGAATACTCCAAACCTACATAACACACAGACAAGAGCTACGTAAGTGAGCATGTTAGATGGGGCACTAATTTGCAAAACATAAGGATGAAGGAGCCACTGTGTACCATGACTTCTCCCCCTCTTCCTTTAACCCTTAAAACCCACATGACATTCCTCAATGTTCACTTGGGCAACCCCGGGTGACAATCCTCTACTTCCTAATTTTCGCGGCATATTTTGAATGTCCAGGCAGGATGAAATATATTGTATTGGATATTTGTTTAATTGGCATTTCAGCTTGTGGAATCTTTGTCTCAAGACTCATGCCTCGTGGTCAGTTACCTGCCAACTATCATGAGGGACGCATGTCCCTCGACCGCTATTCATTAATTTAGAGCTGCCATATTTATTGCTACAATAAACAACAAAATCAATACATAGCTCATCATAAAATGCAAGAACACATAATTTATGTAAAAAAAAATAGCTCCTTCCACACCAAAACCATCCACTGAGTGATGGATACAGTTCAGGCAGTCAACTAGCTGACTCAAAGACATGTGGTCAGGAGGGAACAGTCATGCAGTTATAGTCCAGTAACCCGCCCCAACACGCATTCACTCCCCACGTATGCTCTTCATTTATCTTATTTTATAGTTTTATATTATATTTGCCATATTTCTAAGCCACATTAGAGTATTACAATGATTTTTTTGACAACTTTTAGTTTCATTACAAGTAACAATAAACACAGCAGCCTGGCTGGCAAGTTAGCCTCGCAGTTATAGCCCACCACCTACACACACACACACCCATGCTCTTCATTTTTCCCATTTTATAAATTTTTTTACCTCTAGGCCACATCGTTTATATAGAGTAAGATAAGTATTTTAAAAGAATGTAAACTGTATATCTATTTTTGGGGGCCGAAATATGCCCATGTGGAGGGTCCGGCTGGTCTTACGTCGCTCGGGTTTTAAAGGTTAAACTTAGCTTAGGTATTTACAACCTGTTTGACAATCTTGGGGTTTAAAGTTACACGTATCCAACATGCAATTTTAAGATAATAAATAAAAGGACACTTTAAAAATGGTGAAACAAATTAAATCACAACATTCAATAAACTCTCATACAGACTTGCTACTGTATTTCTTTTTTATAATGCAAGAATAACAAAGTCAGGCGAAGAACTTGGCTGGTCAAGAACAACTCGACTTCTTTGGCAAAATAATATATATTTTTTGAATGCAAATTCTTGTTTTATTGTACTGTACTGTAATAGCATTTTAGCATTCATGGTTAAAGATTTACCTGGGTGACTACTGTGATACAGCAGATGAAACAAAACATGCTCACAAATAATCATACCAACTGCATAGTTAACATTATGCAGATAAATTTTTAAACTGACTTTGTTCTTGCTTGCTTTCCTGATATGTCAAATTTATTCACTGACTGAGACAATATTAATAATTTTGACTTTGTAAACCAGAGTAAATTTTGAAGGAAAAACAAAAATACAATAAAATCACTAAATATGAAGACTGAACTTCTAAATCACATGTATCTTTAGCATAAACATCAAATTAATGTGCACCACTACATTAACTTCTGCACTGAAATGCAACACCAATACTCACATCAACTACAATGGACAAACAACTTATAAGAAAAAATATGAAAAAATTGCAACACATATATTGTCTTTAAAAGTATCAAGAAAACACTTTCCTATGACATTGAAAATTGTCATTATTTTACCACCATGTTCCTATTAAATTTCTTTAACTGCTCTAAGGCACAATTTACATTGTGTTTAACATGTTTCCATGACCATATTCCACAATGAACCAGCAATTATAATATATATTCCTATAATAAAATGTATAAAAATGACTTGAAAAGTGTCATTAACTGAACTAATAAATTTCTGTATACTGTAAAATTTGATTGTTAGTACGATGAATTTGAATGAGAATCATCAAACTTCTTTCTACTAAACACAACAGTTTGGAAATGCCACAAAAAGTGCAGTTTAATCCTTCCAACCTTTAACTACATATCCATATAATTGGTACCCATACTCATCCTGGTTAAAAAAGAAAAAATATTACCTCAACATACACAATATACAAGAAAGAGCAACACTGCTATTTTCATAATTTTACATGAATAAAGCTTTAGGTATTGGAAATGTTTGTAGAATACATGTCATGAGAAACCTTTCTAGAATAATGAAAAAAGGCACCACAGACCTATGAATGGCTTAGAAAGATGATGAAAGTGGAATATGACTCCCCCCCCCCCCATCAACTATCTTCCTTTAACACAGCCATTCCATCCTAGCTTACAATATGTCATGAGTAACAGCTGCAATGGGTAAAATTTTACTATTTGTTTCTCCCCTTGAACTGCAACATTTATATATTACACACTCTTCAGTACCAGGCTGACAACACGAAGCCACTGGCAGTAAACTTCCTATAATTTCCTATATGGGCAAGATTGGCAATCAATAATATTTAGGCTAGTTGACTACTAGTTGTGAATCTGAAAACACAATGACCACCCCTTGTACATGTTCATTATTAAATTTTGAGCATATCTAGCCCAAAACTTAAGAATAAAAAGGTAATTTTGTAACAGCTCCATCATAACCCAACATTTCACCGACAGCATTTAAAATTTACAGATAGAAAATGTCAGATCTTTCTTCTTAATGGTATATCTTATGTATATTTTACCATTCTAGATTTGTGTTTCATTACATTGCAATTCGTTTCCTTTGTAATGCCAACTTTTAGATCTACACAGTGTGATTTACTTTCACTGGGATTAATTTTTACACAGATAAATCCCAACAATGTTTGGGTCAGCATCAGTCAATTAATCTTCTTTGTACATACCACAATTCCCACAAATATTGCATTTTATCTCTAATCAAAACTTTTTAGGTCAAAGTAATATGTCTCCTCCATGCACGGAGAGAAAAAAAAAAAAAAAAAAAACATATTACAGTTTGATCTAAAGAATGAACTTGCAAGACTTGGGTACTGTCAAGTAAGGATGTTATTGCTATGAGCATCCTAAAAAACTAAAATATGACCTGAAAACTTAGATCCAACAGCTCATGGCATGAGATGCACATTACAGAGTATCTGGATTATTGATTATGCTGTACTATTTGACATGCACACTGCTATGGGAGACACCTCAGTGACAGGCACTAATCTGTCACATCAACAGTGCTCTTTAACTGACGCACGCTGGGGAGTGAGAGCTCTCTGTTACACGGGTGAGAGGCGGGGATGCTGGTGAGGACTGGCTTGAGGCGTGAGGTAGTAGAGGCAAGTTGGCTCAGTCCACCACAGAGTCTACATTCATACACATTAGTTTTCGAACTCTGGTACTCATTGAGGGAGAATCAGGAGTTTTGGGGATGTGACCATTAGTTTCTTCTGAATGAACTTCACTGTTGTGGATACTTCCATTGGCATGATTAGCATGACCATTAGCATAGCCATTGGCTACACCATTTGCATGACCATTAGCAAAACCATTTGTCTTTCCATTTGCATGACCATTTGCCTTTCCATTTGCATAGCCATTTGAGACCCCATTGACAAGTTTAGTGATACCATTCGCGAGGCTTCCATTGGCATGACCATTTGACCTTACATATATTGAAGTTCCATTTGCAAATGCCTGCAAATAAATAATTCAATAAATTTACTGAAACATTATACTGTATAGTAATGTATATTTAACTGATGCATTCATATAAGAACCATGTCTAGGAAAGTTTAAAAACATATATTAAATTTGTAATTGCAGCTTAGTATGAGCCGACTTAGATTACAAAATATAAGATGATGCATCTTTAAAGAGGAGTAATTAACATTGTCATTAATGTAGAGTAATTGTAGAATACTGAAACCGAAACTTAAAAAATCTTTGTGAAATACTACATAAATTTGAACAAGATTAGCAACACATCATGTTTATTCACCTTGACTTTGGCAGCTCCCTTTAGGTAGGCTTTAATATAGAAGTCAGAGAACAGGAAGAAGAACATGACAGCATGACCACCAATCCACCACATAAATGCTCGAGGGTAGTTGCACTCAGTGAAGCAAAGCTGCAATTTTAAATCATTTAAATAAATGCTGAATAAATATGTAATCATACAGTAGCTGAAAGTTTAGCTCCTATGCAAACCTAACTTGAATAAACCTCACATTGTAATATATATATATATATATATATATATATATATATATATATATATATATATATATATATATATATATATATATATATATATATATATATATATATATATATATATATATATATATATATATATATATATATATATATATATATATATATATATATATATATATGCTGGGTGATTTCAACACAGTATAAAAATCAAACAAAATTGATCAATATACAGTTCAATACAGTACTAACTGTACTTTTATTTGAACTAAAGTTGTTTTGGGATTTGTTATGAATTTCCTTCAGCAATACATGTTAGGATTCCTGAGACCTAATTATTAAACCCTTTAGACTACTGATTGCACTGAGCTGCCCGAGAAGTGTGTTATCTAAAAAAATTCTTCCAACTATAACTATACGATAGTTCAGTCTGGTAGCAAGAGGTTACACTTCATTATGTTTATATGTGAAATATAAAAATCAAGTCATAATAAATCTCAATATTAACCTGGAAAGCATGACCGAAGATCATGATGAACTGGATCATCTGGAAGTTAGTAAGGTATTTCTTCCACCAAATGTAGCGGCGGTAACGTGGACCCAGGGCAGCCAGCATATAGTATACGTACATGACTATATGCACGAAACTATTGATAAATCCAAAGAAAGTACTATGACCACCTATGAAGGAAAGAATTTGGTATGATTAATTACAATATCATATTTTGGAGTTTACATGAAGCTTTCAGTAAAAAGCACAAACAACATCTCCTAATCAAACATAAAAACTACTAAGGTTGCTGCAAAAACTCAAAACAAAGGAATTTTAAAGATTACAGTACTGTATAGAGAAAGTTAGTAAGTCCCAGAATGACCTACTGGGTATTTAGTTTTTAAAGAAAATTTGACTTTAATACTCATGAGCAAATACTAATTATGGAATTAAATGGATCCTACTAATCTACAATCCTCTTGTTTATATAACATTGAAACAAACAAAATAATATGATTCAACCTTGAAAAAAAATTGCCAAGTCAATTTCTAATTAAAACAAAAGGATCATAACCCTCCCACAGTGAAATAATCTACTCGTCTCATTAAAGAAAACTGACCAAGAAGAAAAACTTCAATACATCTCAGATATAAACAGAAGAATAAGACTGAAATCTGCATAACTGGGAATTCTTTTTAGCCGACTTAGTATACAGGAAACTATGAACAAATAAACCTTCTCTGACTCTATCAACTTTTTACAATCCCATATGAGGGATTTATAGGTGAAGTGATACTATTTGAGGGATTTACAGGTGAAGTGATACTATTTGAGGGATATACAGGTGAAGTGATACAATTTGAAGGATTTATGTTATAGTACAGTGGTCCCTCGGTTAACGAATTAGATCCCATAAGGATTTTCAGTTCGATTAACAAAATCCTTACGACAAACACTTTTTGTTGTGCTCATCAGCTGATCAGCCAGTCCGCCAATACAGTTATCAGTTCTATGTTTACATTCTTTTCCAGTGGAGTAAATATCAAGAAAGTTGGTCTCTTGAACATTTCTGCATTTTTTATATTAAAATTATTGGTCATTCTGAAATTTAGTTAACATATTGATAATATATACAGTACCGGGAACAGTTTTTGTGTGCCCATCAGCTGATTGAATCACCCAACAAAGCTTCTCAGCTTAACATTGTTTACAGTGGAGTGAACATCCAGTTTGTTGGTCTCTAGAATATTTTTGTATTTTTACATTAAAATTATTGGGAATTCTGAAATTTTTTTAACATATTGATAATATACAGTGCAGAAATTATTATGGAACACAAAGAAGGCATTAGAACCAATGCACTCTGTAAAGAATATGGCATGTCATCATCGACTGCCTCTACAATTAGCTGTTTGATATGTAAACAAAGCTGCTGGGAATACAACATACACACCTCAAAGTAAGTTAAAATACAGTATTCTATTGGTTTTTTTTATTTATTATTGTACAGTATACTGTATAGTACAGTACTGTATTTAGTTTATATTCAATGTTTTGTTAATTCTATTACCGGTATACGTACAGTACTTTGTATGTATACTTTTTCTGATAGTTGGAACCAATTACCCAATATCCCATTGAAATAATAGATTCGGTTAACGAAATTTTTGGTTAACAAACGACTCTGTGGAACGAATTGTGTTCGTTAACCGAGGGACCACTGTAAAGACAATATTTACAATACTTTATGTCTACCAGCCCAAAGATCAGATTTTTGCCAACTTTCAAAACCTGAATTGAACCTTTAAACATGTTCAGAAATTCAAATGGGTCAAGGATGTATATAATGTATATCCCCCATCCCCAGGCATGTACTGTATTCATTTCTACTTTTATTAAATCAGTAAGAATGAATGAATGAATGACCGCAAAAGAATGGTGTGTGTTAATGCTCAATTCCCTCCACCCTGCATTTGCTCTTCATAATTATTGAAGTACAGTACATGTACTGTAATATTTATTGTACCTTTAACTTCATTCATTAATACAGGGGGTACTACATTCATATTTGATTTTTCACATTTTGGGATAGTACAGTAATGCAATTCAGTCTTCTTCCCGAGTGAAATCTATTACACTTAACTTAATTCTCTTCCATCCTCATGTTCCACAACAGTCACATTTTACCTATTCTTAAGAGTATTTTCCAACCCACCTATTAATTTAATTATCATAAACAAATGCAGTACAGTATTCTCCCTTCTTGTATAGTACAGGTACTAGTATTTCACACTTCAGTGGCACTTCAAGGCAACATTCTTAAACTACTCACATTCTTTTTCAACACTTTCTAGTTCACCCTCACAAGGCCGCTTTATCTTAATAATTTCTCTAAAAGTTTCAGCAACTTTCTCCCGTCTCCATTCCTCATTTTTTATAGGCCCTTTCTCTCCTCTTTGAGTTTCTTTCTTTTAGCATGAACCTTCCACTTGCTTTTATTAGCACTTCTCCCAAATAATGGTAATACAGTATACTTTTTGTCATTGATGGCTGAAGTTCCAACACAATTACAAAACATATGTAGTTTTCATCACCTTGGAGACAGTTTATTAGCAGGGTCAACCATGCAATCTTGCCCACAAATCTCATCTTACAAAAAGGAAATATTTTTTCTTTTCACCCTCTCAAATTTCTTCCCATGATATTGGTGGGAGGTTGTAAATAAGAGTAGATAAAGACTTTCTCTTCATTTGGTGTCATTCACCCACTCTTACTGCTTCAACAAATGGTATTTTCTGTGTATGTGTCCTCCCACAACAAAGCCCCAGAATATCTACTGTGTCTTGTATATCCCTCTCACTTAATATGACCCAACTTCACGCATCAATGAATTCAGAGAACATGTTCTTTGTAACTCAACAACAGAGCTATACTTTACCTGGGGTAAATTTTACACCAAACCACACACTCATGGGCATACAGCCATGATGAATAACATGAAGTGTTGATACATGCTCAAATTTCTTATGCAGGACAAAGAAAAACTGGAAAAAAGAAAGAATCCAAGGAACAATTAGAAACTGCATTTGCAAACACATACTGTACTTGAAATTTCCCCAAAACCCTTAAAAAATAAAGTTTAATTTCAATATATATACTATACGGTACACATGAAACGCCCATATATATACAAGAAATACAATAAAAATTACAATTGAGAGGTGTGTGCACGTTCTCCCTTTCACGGCCACTCTTCAACTGACCATCTGCCACCACCCTGCAACAGCTAGCCATCATCATCTACACCCATTTTTACCACTCTTATGACACTAAAACAATAAGTACTTAAGAAGTGTAAAAATGCATAAAAGAATTACGGTACGATATATAAGTTTTGATAACGAGTGATTTATTGAGGAGGTGTGCCTGTGTTCTCCCTCTCATAGCTGATGTATCGCTGCTCATTGCCCAATTAGAAGGTTCATGCACACGGTTTAATTTATTCCTTATGATAGGACAATATAGTGAAAATTTAAATATTTGGGTAAACAAATTTTAAGTCATAAATCAGTACTTTACTATACTACAGTATACTGTACTGTACCGTGATCAATATGTTTGCTATAAATGACAACTACCTGTATTCAAGTACAGCTCCTCCCCGACTTACGACGGGGTTTGGAACCCAAATCCAGGTCGTAAGTCGAAAATGCTTAAATAATACATAGAAAATCTAAAATGGGTGTCTCTTTCTTCTGAGAACTCACAAAACTCTCATTTTTAAGCTTACCAGCCATTTTAAAATTAATTACAAATGAAAATTTTGTCAGTACACAGCGCAATCAATGACGTTGGGACTCGAAAATACGTAATTTGACAAAATTTTGGTACGACTGAGGCAGTCGTATGTCCGGGTGGTCGTAAGTTGGGGAGGAGCTGTACAGTTCATTAAAATATCTATGTACAGTGATAGGGGAGTTATGTTCTGGACAAAGTTTTCATCTTGAAATTTCCTGGGATTTTTTTACTCTTTACTTTGAGACGAATTTGGTGTTCTACACATTCTAATAAAGATGCTTCATCCACAAAATATTAAACAATATTAGTCGATTGATTTCAGAGATACTGTATGCTAAACAAGAAAAAAAATTCTGGAGAAGAAGCAAAACAGGTTTTGCTTGCAGGAGATATACCACATTCATATGAAATTCAATTTTTTTTTTTTACTTGGAAACCAGGAAGGCTAAGTTCATGATCTATTATTAATGAGCACTGTGGGGAAACGAGTCAGACCTCTGTTCAGGTATTCATCCACTTGGACAGTACATGTATGCAGGGGTCTGTAACTGTACACTTCCATCATGTTGTAACCCAATGCATGTCTAGTCATCTTGCCAAAGTTAGAACATCAGAATACGATACCACCTGAAGAGCAAGTGTTGAAATTTGGCTAAAAAATTAAATTGCCATAACATCTATGACATTTTTGCAGTGTCCTTGGCACTGTCTATAAAACCACACACTGTGCAGCCAGCAGCAGCAAGAAGGTGCTTGGTGTCTGGGAGCAGTAGTAGTGGTTCACGTCAGGTGCGCATATCACATGACATTTTTTATATTTATACAACGCAGATTTGTTTTCATCAGTTTTCTTACATGTTCTCTTGCATTTTACAAAACTACAGTATGTTTTTCATATTCCTATACAATAATACACTAACTACAGGTTGACAATCCCTTATCCAAAATCCTTGGGGCCAGGGGCATTTCGGATTTCGGAATTTTTTGGTTTTCAGAATGTTTTTATTTTATTTTATTTTTTTTTTAATGTGTATTAGCTCACCCGGGCATAGATCACTGACCCACATCAGGGCCTGGGGGCGAAAATATATTAAAAATTATAATAATAATATATAGGTCTAGGTCGTGTTTCTCACTTTTGATCTTTTTTTTTCATTCTTGTATTTCTTTATTATTATCATTATTATTATTTTATTATTACAGTATTATTGTTATTATTATTAATTTTATTATTATATTTTATTATTATTATTATTATTATTATTATTTTATTTTGGTGTATTTTTATTAACATTTTTATTTACTGTACTATGAATAATTATTATTATTATAATTATTATTACTATTACATTTTCGCCCCCCTGGCCCTGATGTGGGTCAGTGTTCTGTGCCCGGGTGGGCTAATCCCGGTGTATATTTAAAAAAAAAAAAAAAAAATGGCCCCACAAAAAAACTTTCGGTTTTCAGAGCTTTTCGGAATTTCGGATACAGGGTTGTCAACCTGTACTTTTAAATCACAATTGCAATTTAAATATATAAAATGATGTGGAGTGTAAACCACATCTGGGTAGGCTCCTGTAGGGTGAAGCACATGACCCACCAAATTACTGTACAGTACTGCATTGTAATTTGACACCCCTGATGTAAAGTAAGAGAAAGTGACAACAATTTCCAAATAAAAACAGTAGAATATTACCGGGAGCTTAGCTTTAAAAAAATGATACTGCTTTCATAAATAAAGCTGTAGGGTAGAACACAAGAACTTAAAAGTATGGAAATACAGTACAAAAAAGTAAACCGCTTCAAAAACTTACAGTGTCAAAGAACTCTGTGAACTTGGAGAAGTAGTACCACCATGATGCATAGGTCATCTACAGTGAAGGAGATAGGCAATATCAGTAAACCCATCCACATTAAAAATCAATCCATATTCTTGCAATTTTAAATATTTCATGTTGGCATATTTCATTTATTGATGTGCATAGTATTGAAAAGTTTTTATGAATAATTAACGACTGAATTTGAAAAAAAAATCAATATAGTGTATAAACCTGAAGCCATGATGCTAGGTAAAATTTTACTGAAACTAATTGGCAATTATAATTTTTTTTTTACAATAGCGTAAAAAATCAGCAAAGCCTACAAATAATTGCCGGTACCACTTAAAGAACAATAGTGCTGCACCATTAATGTTTTGTATTATTCTGACAGACTAGAATAAACACTACTTACCTCAGTTACTCTGGCAGGGTTCTTGACATCACTTCTGTACTATGAACTCAATTTTGGTCTATTTCTCCATTATACTACCACAGTATAAAATTGCTCAATAATCTATCTTAAATATTACTAGTATGCACAAGCTCAAAAATACTTAAGCTACTGTAAATATGCAATATCTGTGTTGCGGACATAAGCTTTTTGCAAGACATCAAGCACTGTACTCTAACTGCACATATTGTAAGCCTTATAAAGTTAAATGCAAGTAATATCATATAAAGTTATATTAGTTGTGTATACACATGCCACTACAACCGTATAAAGACAGCATAACAACAAGGAAGACAGAGACAAAAGGAAGCACAGAAAATACTAAATTGCATGTTAATACGTACTGTATATGCTACAGTACCATGTAAAAGAAACACACACAATATAGTATACAGGTATATTAAACTAAAATTCCTTGAATCTGGATTTTTGGATCTGGATTTTGCTTCAAACAAAACCTTATAGCCCCCCCCCCCCCACAAGTGTAGCCAAATTAAGTCACTGGTTGTCCATTCTTCATATAGGTTCTCAACTGGCTCAGCCATGTTAATATTGTTATTAATATCCACCCTGTATCTGTGTTTTTCTAACTAAATAAACTGCTTCAATTAAATTCAATTCCACAGTACAGAGTATCAATGAAGGTGTTTGAATGTCTATCACCATGATATTCTCTGTAGCTAAGTTTGAAGTTCCCTTACCAAAGAATACCTGCACAGTACTTCATTATAGTTTCCTGAGAAAGAACTGTGTAACTTGAAAGCAGTATTATGAAATAAGTTCATGTTCAGGTTATAAACTATGAAGTTTTAATGAAGTACTTCTCTTAATGACGGACACTTGTAATGTTTGAAGAGTACAGTATTTGGTCTATAATCATGGGTATTTAACCTCATGCTGTAACCACATGTCATCTCACTCTTCTAAATACCTCCCCTCTTTGAGGATGGACACCAATTACCTATTCAATGAAATTATGTAGTTCTCCCTACCGATCAATGAAAGAATAAAGAGGGTCTTTTACAATTATAAATAAAAGTATATTATGCTCATAAATAATCATTCTTACTTTTAAGTTGCTGTTTATCTTGCTATATTAATAAGACTATGATCATTCAGGAACAAAAAATATTGTGGAACATCATCCTTAACGAAAAGTTGAGCACAAAGGACAATAGGGTGTACAGATACCGAATAGGTTGTTTTATTATTATGGATTAGTTAAGTTAGATTAGAACCACTGCACTATAGGAGAAAACAATGTCAGGACAGTTTGGGTCAAGATGATAAAGAATAGGTAAAGTACACAAGAATATCAAGAACTAAAATAAAAACAAGAATGTACATTTATGCACATAGCAGAAAGACAAGTGTGAACAGCTACATTAAGAGTTTGAAGACTGGAACACCACACTACTAACACCATCTAATGATATGCAGGAGAGAGAGAGAGAGAGAGAGTTATTTGTATTTATATACAGTATGTATACTGTATTACATAATACAGTACCTTGATACTTAGCAAAATTTATGCCAACCCTGGAAAATTTCGGCACAATAAAAGAAAGAAACCAGAACATATATTTATGTTCACTGATGTCCTCTTGAACTGTGCATACAAGAGGACAATAGAAGAGCATGCCAACAGACCTAAAATAAAAAGCTCTATTATAGAGTACTACAGGTTTCTTTCTTCCAATGTGGGCCCGATTTCTAAAACATAATTGAAGTTTTGGCCAAAATACCTATCATATATATAAACTTTAATAATAATCAAAGATTTTGTTTCTGATACAATATTTCCTTTTCTCATTATCCAGATCCTCCTCCTTTCGTTATAAATTATCTCTGGATAAAAGATTACTTTGTTATAATCTTCATATATTGTACCAAGCATTCATGATACTAGACCTATCACAGCAAAGTTTCTCATGGAAATACAACCTTTTCACTTCCCCTCTAATAATTTACAATGAGAATTATTATATACAGCATAGGTACTGTACAGTATTCATAAAATTACCTAACTAAAATTGCAGTACAGGCAAGATGCTTTACTGTAAAAAGCCTTGATCTGCAGCAGTCAAATAATATGGTCTTCTTTACCACTGCAAATTCTATTTTCCAATTCAACAAGCATACTTACCTTTTGTGCTATTTAACATACATTTCTAGTGTACTGTATTGTTATTTGATGGTGATGAACAATTCATTACTTTCTTATCTTTTAAACATTCTCACTCAAAAAGTTATTTCACAAAGTAGTGGAATGGTGTAAATGAGCTCCATAATAAATACTAGAGATGCTCTAAGGTATATAGTAGTTCAGTATTTTTTTATAAATTTGTATATACAATCAAGAAATCAATGTATGAGCACTCCTAGGACCTGTATGTTGGCACTTCAGTAATTAAGCACAATGGCATAAAACAGCATTTCTGTACGTAGTTCAATGTACAGTATTACACCACAATCGCAATTGCTTGACCAATCTAATATCTTTGTTCTTGTGTCTTATGCATGAAAGTACTGTACTGTACATAAAACCATGTGTAGATTTTAAATTTTCCATTACAGTGATAAATTGACTGGTATAAATTTGTCTCAAGCTGCCAAACGATATTTCACAAAACATAATTTTCTTGTTTTTCTAATGTTTGTCTGTTAAGACATAAGCTTTCCTAGCTCTTGGGGGAGGGAGGGAACAGCAGTCAAGACTACCAGAACCTTACCCTGATGGCCATGGGATTTTGGGAGTAGTCGACAGGCTGGCAACGGTAGGAGTACCCAAGGAACCATCCGCCCATACCAAACTGGAACCAAATAACATGATGCATGCGCTAAAATTTGCTTCTGCTTTACCTTTTACACCTTATTCAACATTCAAGTCAAGCTGATGGGAAAAACAAAACTACAAGAGGTAGATATTATAGTGTACAGTACATCCAATCACAATCCAACGATGACTGCACACAAGAGTAACAAGGTAAAACGCCAGCTACTCCCATCTTGTGTGTTTTGCTTCCAGATAACCAGAAGGTTTCTTGTGAAGAATACTTTCTTATTACAAATGCAAATGGTGGGATTAATGTTAAATCTGACTCTGTCCTCTCCATTTAAACAGACATACGAACAATCAACACAATTTTCTTTCATCAAAATATAAATACAGTATATAGTAAGCTGAAGAACAGGAATTTTTCACAAATACTGAAAAGTAACTTGTAAGCAAATGAAGAAACAAGTGATTTACAGATCATACTTAAGTGTATGCAAATGTATAAAGAAATATTAACCTGGGAAAGGAAAATCAAGGAATTATACAGACAATACACAAACAACAACAAATGACAACATGGGGAGATGCAACCAGGGCAGATAATTTAATAGCACAGGGAATAAATACTCACAAGACTGGTGTAGCATTACAGTACTGACAATACAGAACAGCACAGTTGTTATAATGTAACAAAACACATGTAAAATTGAAGTATCAAAGAGATATATCAGAGAATGATTGTTCTTTCCCCTGAAATAATGTAGAGAGAGATTAGACAGGTATCATTAAAAAATCTATTCATTGAGACATCCAATTATTTATGAATTATAAAGTCAATTTTGATTAGTCACACACTTGATTCCTAACTAATTTGACACTTCTCTGATATTCTAAGATACGTCAATTTCTTTCCTTACAAGACTTGTCATAATTGTGGCCACATCATGCAAGCATGCAACACATAATGGGGAAGCACAACGCTTGCCAAGAAGGTCCGATTACTCATCTCAGGCCATGTGGTATTGTACCATGGTTGTCTAACACCGAATCAATCTTTCACTTTCTTTACACTGCCAGAGAGAGAGAGAGAGAGAGAGAGAGGGAGGGGGAAGAGTAATAAGAAGTAGGACAGGTCACAAGGGATGCTGGAAACAATTCATTTGAGTGTCATCTTGGAAAAGGTCAATGTCCAGGTTGTCTCACTTACTTACATGCAAGTACCATATACTGTACACACACACACACATCTCTCACCTAACAGGTGTTTACTCATTTGTTTAAAAAAATGTTTTTTAATTAACATCTTTATATTTACATAAGAATAGATCAATAAGCTGCTGTTTGCACTTGCACAAAATAGTGAAAGGTTTACAACTTCTACAATCACAATGAGATTTTTATTATTATTTACACTGGGTATACACCTCTGTACAGACCTCACCATTCCTGCTAGTATAACACTTTTCTAGAAATTTCACTAATAATTAGTTCTCCCCATTACTGGGTGAAAATTAAGGAGCTTCAACTATTTTTTCATCTGCTATTACTGTACTTATCACTACTGTAATTGTTTCATTAGTGACAACAAATTATACATTATATCTCCGGTTATCATTTGTGTTATACTAACCCAGTATTACTGTACAAACTTTTCTAGTCATCATCATTATATATAAATAGCTACCTCTATGTTAGAATAAACTTTAACACTTTTCCTGGCTCGTCATTTTTTTTTTTTTTTTTTTTACGGGGAAGAGCCCACCCGGGCACAGGCCATCGACCCACAAAGGGGCCTAGGGGGCAAAAAAAGAGAGTAAAAAGAAATTTATGCATATTCTCTCTCCCCATTTTTTATTTAAATCTTAAACATTAGTTCATATTCATATTAAATACAGTAAGGCTGTAAACAACTGGTGCCTTTGCAATATTTTTCAGTAAGATTGTAGGTTGTATCATCAATACACTGGTACTTTTTACATAATTTCTGTCCATTGTATATTTACCAAGGTACTGCATATCCTTCTAAAACATTTGTAGCCAAACCCTCTTCAATGGCTTACCTTTATAAAAGTCTTTTGTCCTAAGTGTCCACAACTCTTTGGTGTCATTAAGAGAAATTGGTTAAATACTATACAGTACTTATAAAAGAGTTGCGATATATTAGGTACTGTATGTACATACATATACATCAGAAATATGTGTACTGTATCTATCAATGCACATAATGTTGTTATTCAAAAAAGATGTGACCAGCTGAAAATACCAACTGACAAGTTTTCAAAAAGGCTGCAGCATGCTGTGTTGTACCAGGTGGCTGAAACTGGATGGCTTCAAAAATAGATATAACCTCTGTCTCTACAGGCATGCAGTTGTGCTTTTACCTGAGCTGTTTCTCGAACAGTGTATAAACATCCATCGTGGACCTTTTGACTTGAACGGTGAATAAACACTCATCGTGGACATTCTGACTTCACAATATTAATCTACTATCAATTTTCAAGCAAGCACCTACCTAGGTATCACACTTACCAAGGATATGACATATTCAAGTTTGTTTGAACTTAGATCATAATATGAAGAGCTGGCACAGCTCCTGAAATACCAAACCACTTACACGGATAGCAGAGGGATTGTCGGTATAATCAACAGGTTGACAGCGAAATGAATAATGTGTGAACCATCCACTCATTCCAATCTGTAACCAACCGCAATACAGATGATGCATGCGGAATATGATAAGAATTGTTCATCAATAGAAGCATTAGATCACACAATATACACTACAATAACAGTTGAGTAATATCAGTAACTAGCAGCTCCATATCCCATACATTACCAGGCATCTTGTAACCTTAACCCTTATCAAATACTGTAATAGGTAAACCATAAATTTGCATTCATTATAAATTACAAACAGGAACTTTGAAACATTTGTTATTTGCATGCACACCAGGATATGATAAACCAACCAAAACACCGACACCCAGGTAGGATACATCAACCGGAACAATGACTCCCAAATATTATGAAATACCTGCCCTACCCCAAGGTATGATGAACCAACTAAAACACCAACATCCATGTATGATATGCTATATGAAACATGATGCATTAACTTAAACATTAACTCAGATATGATGAGCCACCCAGGTATGATGAACCAAATAAAACTTAAGACAGTATGAATGTCAAAAGAATAATCTTACGAATGTAGATATTCATTATTCACAAAAGATTTTCATAATTTTTCTCATAAAGTGTTACACTTCCCAATGAGAGGCAACAAAAGTAGACTTTAACCGATTCCAGAATTTTAAATAATATCACTTGCACTGCTATGTTTAGGTTTGGATTCTTTATCATTTGTGACCACCTAATAAGCTTTTTTAATTGTGGACAACATCCCACCGAGGGGAAATGGAAGTCGTTTGACTTTAATAGTACCGTAACAGGCCATGGTATATTACAGGGTAAGGATAATATGATTAAAAATTTCTATAAATGATTATATATTTCATAAAAGCAACCTTACTGAATCTTCAATAAAAACTAACAGAATTTTTAAAATCCTACTACAGTATTTCTTATTGACCAAAGAGTAATAATAAATTGAATAACCTCAAAATTAATATTATTCCTCACACCATAATTGAGCCATACACTGTACAGTATGTATTGCATTACCAGTAGGCCTTCTCACACTACCTAGCGGGTGGCTCATAAAGCATCTACACATTGATTTTGGCTCATCTCTGCAGATTCTTCTTTCACACCTTGCTTTTGCATGTTCTCACTTACTTCATCCTACTTTTCATTCATCCAACACAAATGTGCTTTTGAACACCATCTTAAATTTGTTGTGTCCACACAATTCAGGGCTTCAGCTTTTCACAATAAAATCCAATATGACTTGGTACACAACCTGTGATGAACCCCTTTTCTGGTCAAGCACAAAGCTATTGTATCTCGTGATTCTTGTACATTTAATTTACTGCCCTGTAAAGGTAAAGATCTGAAGAGAAAACATAAATCAGTGAATATTCATTCTTAATATTTTATTAATTCTAAATTATGCAAGAGAAAATTTTGTCAGGAGTCATGATGCAGACAAATTATCTCTTGCTTCATGCAAATAATTACACTAAATATTTTCCATAAAAGAAGTACAATTAACCCTCATGTAATCCAATTTCTGATACTGTAAAGTATTTTAAATCCATTTATAAAGTTCAAAATTCCAACCAACCTCCTGATAATTCAACCTTCCTAAAGTAAAAATTAGGCATGAATTGTTTATACAAGTTTTTCATGAAGCAAGTTATCATTGGTCTGCATCATGACCACCCAACAAATTCCCTGTTCCATAATTTAAAATTCACAGAAAATTATAAAGTATAATGTCACTGATTTATGATTTATTTACTAATGAAATGATTAACATCACATTCCAAAATCTATTCTCTTCATTACCTTATTTCATTATTTATACAAAGTTTTGTAAAAAAGATTATTTTTGACAAAATGATTCATTATTACTCAATACATTTCACAATTAATTATTCTTCCACAAGCACACACACACACTTTCAGATTTCCTTCCAACACAAATGTCCACACCTTTCATTTGTGCATGAGTTAAATCACCCTGAACAAAAATTATTTTATAAGTACAGGAGGGGCCCTGACTTACAAACTTCCGACTTGCTTAACGCCTGTCATACTTCCAACGGGGTTAAACTTGAAATTTACAGTATTTTATTTACCCGATGACTTATTTTTTACTTTCATTTACTGTATTTTGTCATTCTATTCTTCTTTTGTCTTAAATTAAGTGATATTAAATGTATATAAGAACTTAGGCTATGATATACTGTAGTGGGATTTTAAACATTGTTCTGCAAGTACGGTATGCACATAACATGTGTTCCGACTTATGTACAAATCCGACTTAAGAAAGTCCTCAGGAACGGAACCCGTTTGTAACCCAGGGACCCCCTGTACAGTATGTAAGAAACACTGCTTCCCGAGGGTAAAATTTCATGAATTAAAACATACTAGAAAATTTTGAAATATTTGACATCATATATTAAGTAATTTTTTTTAAAATAATGTACAGGGAATAGGAGTTCTGCACCTGGTCAGTGATGCCAGTACAGTATATATTTTACAGGGACTCTGTATAGTAAAGTACCGTATAACTAATGATTTCACGTATATACAGTACTGCCTAAAATGTAAACATTGTAAGAGATTTCACATACTAGTAATCCCCCAAATCATCAGAAATTTACAGTAATTACTGTGGCTATCAGCTTAAATAATCATTAACCTTGTTTGGTTAGATTAAGTGATGGTTACAGCAATAAGAAACTTCTCAACATTTCAGAGATAAAACAAAAACCCTAGTTACAGAGATTCCTAGTAACTTATATACTGTACAACCTTTTCAAGAGTTGCTAAGCTATCTAGAAAAAAAGTGGACTTGTATCACTGATGTACTGTATGAAGAGTATTCGCAGAAACCTTTACACCAAGAAGAAGAAGAAGAAGAAGAAGAAAGACAGTGATCTCTGAAAATTAACATATCATTAGTAGCACATGGAAAATCACACCTCACATGGATCCTCTAGACAAGACACACTGGGATACCTCAGGTTTCAGTCACTATGAAGATTTTGGATAAATAGGAGAAAGGTTGCTTAGCAATCTATGTTCAAATGTTCCAAAGGAAGCACCTGCTACCTCCTTGGTGGAAAAAGTAGCCAAACTGATGTAAATGCATCCGCTTTTTTTTTTAGCCATTCTACTACATAAAAAAATGAAATAAATTAATAAATAGCAAATAGCATTTACCCACAATAATGCAGGGTGGCTAGAATTGTGAGCAAATACACAGTCACCCTTCACTCACTATAGTTCATTCATTCTTATTGTAAGGTAGTACTGTAATTTATGTGCTCTGTCTCCATACTAAACTTCAACATTAAGGCTCCACATCTGGTTTATCCATGTTACTTCACACAAGTTAGCATTATCTTTTCCCTAGAACCACCTGACACAATGTTCTTCACTCATACATCCACAATGCTGCTTCTGTAAGTCCATCTTCTCAACCCAACCTTCCATCACCCCCCTCCCTCTCTCTCTCTCTCTTTCTATCAGCCATCTCCGAATTTCAAACTCTTTTTACCAATCTTTCACTTGTACTGTAATTGCCTAACACCATCTGAACACACACTGACATGATCTCTGCTCAACATTTCTTTCACTTCCATTCATTTATGTATCTCTTATTTCTATGTATCCTATTAACTTTGTATATTATTCTCAAGCTTGTCATTTCTGTCATGGCTAAATTATGCTCCTTCCTCATACATCCAAGTCCATGCTCCAAGCCCATATAATAATGTCAGTTAATGATTCCTCTGTACTATATTGTACATCTCGACCTTTGAAACAGTTTTTTCTATTCATACATATCTTAATGTACCTATTACAGTACTTACTTTTCCTCTGTTGCTATGTCGTTCTATTCATTGCTCATTGTTCCGCTTGCAAACACATCCATTCACACACATATCCACATCATAGACTTCCATTTAAACAAACATCTATTTCTCCCTCCTTTCCCTATTATTTTTTTAAATTGACTAGTAACTTTCTCTTGGTATAGTACACTGTCAAACCCAGATTGCCCACTAGAGCAGTGGCATCTACAAACAGCAGCCGACTCATCCCCCATTTGTACCTGTACCATCAAACATGCACCTCTCCCCAACACACTCCTCTTGTATACAAGGGATCGTGGGTGTACAGCAACACTGCCAAACAATAAGTTATCATACACCTTTAGTTGAAAAATAAATATCAATAATGTCAACATTCAAATAAAATGTATACAAAGAGTAACAGATATCAATAAAAATGATTCATCAGATTTAAACAACTAAAATATTGTACTGTACAGTACATTATAAAATACTATCTACCCGAGTACTGTAATTTATATTTTTTTCTGCAGTGGCAGCATTACACTAGTGTCAGTATGAACTCTTGATACAAATTCTGATTAGTGACCTCTTCACACTGTCATGGCAAGTGCTGAAATACCAGTCAGTCAAGTGCCAAGAAACCACAGGTCAAAACAGTTTACTTCTCCACGCTGGTATAGTTATACATGAATGAAACAGTTGCCAACTGCTAAGCATCACAGAATAAAACAAGAACTCGTTAGAACACTGTACAGTACGTCGATTCATTACATAAAATCAAGGAGAAACTTAACTCAACTTACCTCGTAAAATATCCAAATGGAGAAGACCACCTGGAAGGCATTGTACGCTACAAGTATATTTCTTAGCTGGAATGGCGGTCGGTTCTTCATATATTGTGGGCCAATCACCTTTACAATTAACACGTAGCCTAGGCAGACGAGGAGTGTGGGCCATGGTGAGTCCATTAATAGCCATCCATCCACACGTGGATCTAGAAAAAAAAATACTTAGTAATTCTCACTAATGTGATACTATTACCCAAAAAATAAGTTAAGATATCTAGGAGAGCAGGAATGGCATCATGATGAGTACAGTATATAAGTATTAGGAAAAAGTCACGAGGCGGGAAATCAAGACGTGGAGGGACAAAGTCGTGGCATAAAATATTTTGTTGGGTGTATATACTGAATGTATGATGACTGGGAAATAAATAATGCAACAAAACAGCGGTGCTACACTGTGGCAGTATTCACAAATCAGTAACCATGAGACACCTGAGGTAGCAGGCGGGGAACCACGCCCACACTTACTTGATTACTACGGTCCTCTACTAGAACCCTCCTAACATCCCCCCTCCAGCTACCTTTCCCCACCTGATACCACAGCTCTCGCCCCACTCCCTCATGCAGTTACCCACACAGCAGCACCACCAACCATTACCCTGATATGCACTGGTATAATTACCCCCTTTCAGTCTCGGACACTATCAGGGCCTAACTTTAAAAGACCACAGTTATGTATTCACTGTACGAAGAAAATCAAATTTGTCAAGATTGTACAGTACATGTTGAAGGGCAACTAAAACAAAAGATTAATGTAAAAAAATAACATGAAAATTACACCGCGTTTACTCACTGTAATTATGCTATTTCTGGAGGTATTTTTTTTAATAGAATCAACCAGTTGCGTGCAATATTACATCTTCAATTAAGAGGAATAGTCACCGTAGGAGCCTTTGATAATTTAAACTCGGAGCTCAAGATTGCACCACACTCCTATAAGTACGAGAAACAACAAAATATCTACTTTAAAACAAAAAATCCTGTTTCACATAATAATTCTATACGTATACCTGTACTGTACCTTATCAACGACGCAAGACACCACCGAGGTAATAGGGCCATAATTCTACCCTCCCCCACATAAACCAACTAGTACCAATTAAATTATTTCATCCGCACTAAACAACCCCTCCATTACATTCCAGGCCACAAAGACATGTGTAGTAATGTATTGTATATACAGTAGTACAGTAACCCGCGGGAATCACATCCTAACGCAGTACAACAGTAACACTCCTCTCCGGCCCGAGATGATTGTAGGTGTTGACCAAAAACCACCACGTCCCTCTTGTCTTCTGTTCCACCCCAGTATATATATGCCATGTGCTAAAATTGTTCTTAACTATTAGTTATAAATTACATGAATTTTGGAAAAAGCCTTTCTATCTTGTTATGGCTCTTACGAGATGCCAAGTGAGCGTATTTAGTTAGAAGTACACGGACATTATTGATGGTATTATTTTGACTGATGTAATATTTATACTTAAGCTTCAGTAAACTAATTATGTGCATTCTTGTATCTGTAATTACAAGGAACACTCACCGTGGGAACCTTTCAAAATCCGACCCCGGTTAACGAGTCAGTGGGATATTTGGTATACAATATAATATACTTGAGACACACAGTTACAGTAGTGGTCAAGATAGTTCAGAAGAAAATAGTCAACCCGGAGGTGATCGATCCAGGTGACAGTTGAGGAGTGTTGGGTGTTCAAGGTCTAGGGAGGACAGGCATTTAACTTCTCATACACAATCGGCCATGCCAGTTAATCCAGTTCCACCACTAATGAGCCGTCTCTGTAACCAAACTACTGTCTGACTAGTCTGACAGTGTCCTATTGACTGACTAGACAGGCAAGTGCCCTGCTACTACTCAAGCACTTGCCTTCATGGTTCTTCTATTAATCGATGAATTAGTAACTTTCGTAAATTACTTAACTGGTCTCTTGGCTTATTAAGTGGCCTGCTTGTTAACCTTCAATGGCGAAGACCAACCAAGGAGGGGTAGTAGGGACCCCCAGACCGACCAGTGAGCAACAGAAATTGACAATTGGTGATGGTGGTCGATGGTTGTAATCTGCCAGTGTCACCCGCCAGCCTTAACTCCTCCCAACATCCAGGTCGCAGTTCACTACTAGGGATAAACCTAACCCTCGTGTTCAACACCTAGGATTTAAGTACGTGATAACCCAAAACCACAGACAGGATTAAAAGTAGTTTTATTAACTGGTGATTCAATATAAAGAACCAAACTAAACGCCCAGGTTTACACCAGTCTTCCAGCGATGTTTACCTCAACGATTAGCCAAATTCTGTCACCCAGAACCACCACTTTGTCGAGTGTTTGGTGGCCACCTAGTCATCCACCCAAACAGGGAATTTCTCTCAACACTCCAGCGAACCCACAACATTGTACATCCAGAGCTTCCACCACAGTCATCCAGCTCGACGATGGTGGCAACTTCTCGCGGAAAACACACAATTTCACAGAACCTGAACACTAGGGATGCAGTACAAACCCCTTCCCTTCAACACACACAGCGCCACTTACTACGACCTACAGTAGTATCCTAGATAGTCTCTCCCACCGCAGCAAGACTACACAAATATACTCTCAAGTGGACAGCTCGTCGGGAGAGGGGAAGATTAGGTTGGGACAAAACATAAATTAGGACTTCATACAGAAATTAAACAAATATAAATGAATATATATTACGTCATAATCCAGAACACTTTGCGACAACCTCCAGTATTTACCTATGGGACATGTGATTGGTTTGTAACTGGTGACAGCTACTTTCCATTGTAAATTATGCCACATATATAAAAAAGGGGGAAGGAATGACAAATCTGAGCAAGTACGTGTTATAATCGTAATGGCCATTAACCCACACGATCCTCAAGTCTATTGAGACAGGTGGAAGAGCAGAGATGGTTGGGCCAAAATTTGTGTTACTTTTGAGAGAGAGAGAGAGAGAGAGAGAGAGCAGGGGTGGGTGGTTGGGTGTGTGCAGGAGACATTAGCCAGTAAGTGTTCCAAGGGAGGGGTGGGGTATAGGAGGGTGGGGTAAGTAGGGGGGGTAAGTAGGGGGGATGGGGTAAGAGGGGTGGGGCAAGAGGGTGGGTGGGGGCAAGTGAGAAGGGTGGGTGTAAAAGAGGGTGGGGTGGGGCAAGTAGGGTGGGTGGGCGGCGGCAGGTGGGCTAGGTGGAGGAATGGGGGTAAATAAGGTGGGCGAGGAGTGGCCTGCTTATGGACACACACACACACACACACACCAGTTTCCCCAAGACGAATATAATGAACCTCCATTATTGGGTCATGGCAACACTATACAGTATACCATAGAGAAGTTTGTCAATTGACCTACTCTAAATATTGACTACTCGAGACGTCAGCTGTACTCTCATTCATTTTCTTCTTTGTTATTGTTGGATTCTCGTCTTTCCTTATCTCGTACGTCTGAAGGTAAGAACAATCTCACACGCAAATACCACCCCTGAAACAAGCGTGCGTGTGTGTGTGTGTGTGTCATCTCCACTGTACGCACTGATCACTTTACAGATACATTCACCTAGTACCAATTAGTAGATGAAATTAGTATGCAAAGACTTAATTTACTCTGGTGCTAAATGAACGTGTCTCAGTGTGATTGTAATGTCTTTTCGGGGTTGGTTTTTTGTATTTTTAGGGTTAAATCAACTAGTTGGGTGTATTTGTTAACATGTCCATTAACGAGGAATATTCAACACAAGCACCTCTTAAGAAGGTGTATGAATGGCGTTACAATCATCGTCGTTATCATCATCATGCTTAACTTTCACAACCGAGGGTCTTGAGTGACGGGATGCAGACAAACGTTCCCAAGATAATTATAATTTTGTTTATAACACTGTTACTTTCCTGCAGTCTTATCCAACACCCTGGGATCATGCCTACGAGTACTGTTGTTAGTCCTCTCTCTCTCTCTCTCTCTCTCTCTCTCTCTCCTAAACGTAAACAAACACTGCACACAACTATACGATCCGACTATATAAATAACTAAGACATTTCAATGATAACATCCAAACTATCCTTATTACCATCATTATATATTTACTACCCCCCCTTACCATAAAGGTTCACTTCACCACACCAGCACCACATTTATATTTTAGTGTGGTATAACGAGATGCCCCACTACCATTATCTTCTGCAATAGTACAGTGGCAGTGATGTTACCTTCAGTGGGTTAACGGTGAAGATAACGCGTGACGTCCATAATTCTTCCTAACTTCTCCTGACGTCCATAACTCCCGTCAGTGGGGTTCTCTCGGCTCCCTACACAACCCTTGACTGCTGTGTCACTGTTCTTAATCCTTCATGTCGCTGTCAACAATGAACTGTCTAATGACCATCCTCTGGCTGGTCCACATGTGTGTGTGTGGTGGTGGGTGAAGTAACATCCTCTACAGCTGGATCACCTGTGTGTGTGTGTGTGGTGGTAACATCCTCTACAGCTGGTCCACATGTGTGTGTGTGTGTGTGTGTGTGTGCTTGTCCTCTACAGCTGGTCCTGTGTGTGTGGTGAGTGGTAACATCCTCTACAGCTGGTCCACCTGTGTGTGTGTGGTGGTGGTAACATCCTCTACAGCTGGTCCACCTGTGTGTGTGTGTGTGGTGGTAGTAACATCCTCTACAGCTTCAGTACACCTGTGTGTGTGTGGTGGTAACATCCTCTACAGCTGGTCACATGTGTGTGTGTGTGTGTGTGGTGGTAACATCCTCTACAGCTGGTCCACACGCTCATGTGTGTGTGGTGGTAACATCCTCTACCCAGCTGGTCCACCTGTGTGTGTGTGGTGGTAACATCCTCTACAGCTGGGTACCTGTGTGTGTGTGGTGTGTCCTCTACAGCTGGTCACCTGTGTGTGTGTGGTGGTAACATCACTCTACAGCTGGTCCACCTGTGTGTGTGTGGTGGTAACACATCCTCTACAGCTGGTCCACATGTGTGTGTGTGTGGTGGTATCTCTCCTGGCTGGTCCACCTGTTATTGTGTGTGAGTGGTAACATCCTCTACAGCTAGTCCACCTGTGTGTGTGTGTGTGTGTGGTGTGAAACTCCTCTACAGCTGGTCCTGTGTGTGTGTGTGTGGTGGTAACATCACTC